TTAAAAATATATCTTCATTTATGACAAAACTCATAGATATACAACAAGCAGTTGAGGACTGAGAAACGACTATAAATTCGGGTCTAAGTCTACGTCAAAATTCAGTAAAACATCCAAAAACAGTATCGATGCCAGATCGAGCATTGAAAAAGAAGCTGTAAACTTATTACTCGTTTTGAATTTTATCCTCCTAGGGGAAACTAACACAAACCCGAGCTGGCTCAGTTTCATTGTTACTAGGGGAACGGGGACGTTCGCATTAGCGAGACTTGCATAGGACAGAATTTAATGGGCCTTACATCGATTTCGATTAATAAATCATTGAACATGATCATCAGTTAACGATCAATCTAATTAATCCAGCTAATCTTATCTGTCGACGTACAACAGATGTTTTGCATTGCTTCTAAATATATTCTCGACTGACTAATCAAAATCCGTTAGGAAGAAAGAACTTCCTAAATGGGGTCGAATCAAAAGTAGTCCAATCATCTTTGACGATCATCGAACACACAAACAACCTGTTAATGGCCTCCGCAGAAGTACGATAGAAAGAAAGAAAAGAAAGACTAAAGTTTCGAAAGAAGATCGCGTGCATGCTCGTCGTTCAAATGAGTTATTGAAGTGAATACTTAAAGGGAGAATCCATACGTATACATATACGTAGACATGTCTGCAGTTAGCCCGAAGCAGAGAGAGTTTCTGCCTTCCATCGAACTGTCCTACCAAGAACCGAACGATCATTATGGATTCACGTAACGACGTACCACTACGATCTCTCGTTACGTATTTAATACAATCTGTACATAGGTTCGTTGTTTACAAGGTCGTCGCAACAATTGAAATTGCTCGCTCTTTGTGAAACCGTTGTTAAGAAACAATCAGATTCGATTTAGTTCAGAAGTTCCACGAACCTCAGGCAGGAACATAAATCTATTGAAGTGAACTATTGAAGAGATTCCTAAGCAAACGAACGTAACGTAAAGGCAATATTTGATTACGGTGACTGTACGTATACGTGAAAAAAACAGGGGCATCGGCGCATGCAAATAATGGGTACCGAAGTAGCTTTTATCTGTGTGTGGCTTCCGCGATTATGCGTCGGCTCAGAATTAACATACGCATGACGCTAACGCTCTCGATTTATCTGAATTTCAACAATTCCGAGAAAACGAACGACGCGACTATCTTTAGGTCCTACAAGGGATCATCTGCTCGCACACGTGTTGCGCAAACTTCGAGAATTTTGCGAGTTTTCGAGTTGGTTGTGAATCGTGAGCTACGCTTATCTAACGATTGTCATCGTCCAATCGCGTGCTGTTACCGCGGTTCTAGCGGTAACCAATTCTTGACACTCATAGTGATCACGCGTAAGAGACAAACAAAACAAGTACAGAGTACGATTCGTACGACGCTTTTCTTTTCTTTAAGACACGCGAGTGCAGTTAGACTCCGTCGCTCTTTGGCCTCAGAACGGAATTATCCGAAAGGAGTGAGATATCGCAAGGACGACTGTGTTAAATGTAATGACGGTCGACCTTGTTGCATCTAGGCTCATGTAATCTGTTCGAATAGCAACCTTTTTAAACGGGATTAAAGAGAAATCGTGGAATTCCCGTGTGAGGTCAAGAGAATTGCCGATATAACGTGTCCATCCAGGTAGATAGCGTTTAAATCCTAGGAAACGCACTATCTACGTTTCCTATCACGCGGGATATTCTCTTTCTCTCTCTCGTTTTCTGTCTTCCTTCCGCGTGAGGAACATGCGAACGCAGCTTGGATCATCAAAAGACATAATTTAACGCAAACGAAAGCGCCGGAGGAAAGAGAGAAAGAGCCAACCAACTCGGAGGAAACGCGATTGCGTCAAATACGCACGCACTAACTCACGCGTAATACACAACGCTGAACGCGCGCGCGCTCTCGGCTGAACTTGTTCTTTCCGATTTCGACGATTTGGGATATTGTCTGCTACGGAATGCCTCGAAATACGCCAACTATTCGGTAGAAATAATGAAAACACGGAGCAACGAACGGGATGGGTACTTCCATACGGGATATCTCGAGGATTAATTACTGTGCGATTTCACTCACCTTCTTTTCTCCTTGTGCTTCCTCTCTTTCCTCGGAGGTTCCATGGCACAGTATCAAATAAACGGGAACACAGTCTTCTCGTATTATTCTTTCGACGGTCAAACACAACCGGGATACTCTCGGTCACTGCCAAGGAACGTATCCACTTTTACGGGTCCCGTCTCAAAATTCTCGGCCCGTCACGAAATTCTCGTCGCTACAAATTGTATCTCACCGTACTTTGCTCGCACATCGACTCGTTCGTGTTGTTCACTCGCGTTATCGAAATCGATGCACACACGCTGCTTATTCTTGCGACTCGTTGGATATGAGCAAACGTCACCTGGTCTCGGTTATTTCTATTAGCGTTGCAAAATAAAAACACATCGTTTCTTCAGCCGTACGGAACGCACGACGATCACCAAACTCATGGTGTGATGGCGTTGACGATGACGATGGTGAAGCTCTGACGGTGTAGTAGTGCAAAGGCAAGAGAGAGAGAGAGAGAGAGAGAGAGGAACATAGGCCCGTAGTTACAGCCACGCCGGTGGTGGTGGTAAAACGACCGACGTGGTGGTGGAGATTATACACGACGGACCTACTGTTCCAAAGGGATTGGAACGAGACCGAGACAGCTGACGTCAAAGCGGCTTCGTTCCGTCTTCCTCGTAGATACTGCCATCGAACGGCCCTGACGTCAACCACCTCGTCGCGCCGCAAACAAGTGGGACATTCGAAATCTCAGTCAGACACGAGGGGAAAAAAAATTATCTTTCTTCTATAGAATCGACCGCGTCACGAAACACTGTGGGAGCTTATTTCGTAGAACCATTTTATTCCTTAGAACAATACAGAAAACGAAACGCATTCATTGCACGGAGTTTTGCATGACCCCTTTAAACAGAAAACAAATAATGATCAAGCATGCTCTCTCGAAGGTAAAGAAATACATAACTGGAAAACAGTATTTAGGAGCAGTTTATTTTGTTCAAAAATACTTTCTCGCACAACCTATTCTTCGCGAGGACTACAGACAAGAGAGATCCTGTTTCATTAAGTCCCAGTAAAAATTTACTCTAAGTCTCCGATGCGAACCCGCATCGATTGTTTATTCACTGGCAAGAGAATTCGTTACATCAGTTCGTTTTATTCCCTTTTCAATGCTAGGGGGTGGTACCTCTTTCACTTTTGATTCTAAGTGAGAAACTTTGCTCTCTGCTTCGATGTCTTTCTTATGCTCGTCCATTGGATCACCCTCGTCGTCGAAGTCTTCCAAAGATTCACCTTTCCTTCCATAGAGCGCTGGATATTGCACCATGCACGTTTGCATGGTCTTAAATGCCTCGTAACACTCGGCACCTTTTGGATCCGCTGTCGAGTAATGGTAACAGGAGAAGGCCTCGCGAAATTCTAGCCCGCAAGGCCCAGTAGCCATTCCTCCCAAACACGGACAATTCCAATTAATTTCGCCGTTAGAAAGTAAGAGACCAGGACTCGGTTCTGGTTCAGGAAGTTCTACCTTACTAGGAGTAGCATGGTCTTCCTTAGAGGCAAATATTATGGTGTCCTTGCCTTCCTTGTGAATCAATGGCATAATTGACCGACTGACAAAAACATGCACGAGAACTGTTGAAAAGAAGCGTGTTCCTTTGCAACGCAAATCCTTCCAAACTCTAGTGTCGATAAGTCCTACTGTTGGCAGTAAAGGATAATAAATTTGCCGAAGCGCGATGAACGACGTAAGTGCAGGGTTCCCCTTCGTATTTTCCAGCTACGGTCAAGGCAGCTCGCAGCCTTACATAACAATCGTCAGTGCACCTTAAAATACACCTAAGCTCCTTTGGATTATATTTTAAAATGTCGATGGTGCATTTGATGCCTTCCTCGCCAAATAGCCGTTTCAGAGATTGGAGTATATTCTTCTTTAAGTAGACCTCCGATACCTCAAGGCTAGGACCATGTGGCAGTATTCTATAAAGAGAAAGAAACATAATCAGTACAAGAGATAGAGAATCACAAATGGAGAAGACAAGTGATTAACGAAGGGCAACGTTCGATCGTTCGAAAACGATGATCTGTTTCATCAGATTACGTCAGGATGAAAATGATCAAACAGAATTATGAATTAAAGAGAGAATATTTTTTTGAGGCGAGTACACGTGTCACGACACATCCTAAGACACGTGTACAGTTCAAAAAACGTTTTTTCTTTAGCTGAAAGAGGAGTGTTCCCGTGATTTTGGTTAGGTTTCGTGCACCCGGGCAAAGAATGTAAAATGTGATTAAATGTACTAACAGAGAAACGTCTAAATAATACATGTTACGCTCGACACTGACTCGCGACTCACATTTAATATTCACAAATTTAATACAGCACTTTCTCAGAAGTTCCCGTACAAACACAGCGGCATTTCATTCATGCCTCTCCATCCCATGTAATAGAAAGCAGATATAACACGTTCCGCGGCGGGCAGATGTCGCTACGCACCCGGTGACATCGCAATTTTTCCTTCGGGCATATTATTTAAACAATTCGTCACAGGTTACTTTATATCGCAAAAGACATTGTAAAATATTACAATGCTCGACGTATAACGCGATAACTGTGAGAGTAAAATTACGAAAATATTTTTAAGGCAGATTCTCATGAATCATCTCTGAAAGTTGCTTCAGGGAAATATTTAAACCCTGCTGATTGTAAAATAGTTACACAAACCGGAGGTGGTCGATGAACCGGCTCTTACCCTGCGAGATCCTCTAAACTGTTGGGGGATGTGCCTGAAGCTTCTTATATGCCGATGGGTAATTAACCCTTATTGTACTTTTACAATCCCAACAGCTGGCCGAATATATTTTAGGCCCTGATTTATAATCCCTTAATCACTCCTCAGACCGTGCCCACGATATCCCTGATCCGGGTACTGGCCGTTCGGTGCGAGTCTGTCGATGAATACTTCTTCCTAATCTCTTGACAATAATATTATACGATACTCTTTCTAACGGCACGGCGAGGAAAATTTCATTGCATTGAAAAAAAGTCTTTTGACAAGCGTTCGAAAGCGCCGAGCCGACCGCGCAAGGTCAATGTTAATGTCAATAGCCAAGGTTAAGAGCTGTGACGAAGAAAATTGAACTTTCGTTTGAAAATCTCGACGATCCTTTGAACAGAGATACGGAGACCGTTTCGAAAGAAATGCATAACCACCGTTGCTCGAGTATCGATTCGGACGCGAAAAGAGGAACGGAAATGCATTAGGTTTCATACTAGCAGCGTGTCTGCGCTCCTCTTTTGGCACTCGGAACATCTGGCCTCCTTTTCCTCGCATACCATCTGATTTTGACAAGTCCCAGGATATTCGTTCGAATGTGCGAAAGAATTGACACTCGGGTTACCTGGAGCGTTATTCGAATCGCTGGCCCACTGCGCCCAACTACCCAAGACCCTTGTGCTTATCCTTTTCACTGTTCCGTGTGGGTCCTGTGTGCGAGGCCTCCGCATTGGCGTAACTCGTCGTGAATACGGCAGGGGCTTATCGTGAACAACGGAGTCGTACAGCCGAAAACTATTTATTCCAACGAGGGCGAAGTTTTTCGTTACCCTGTCTTAGATTCGATCTCGATATTTTCCGCGACCTGTTTGCTTAAACATTTGTCGTTCGAGGAGAATTTTTCTTCCAACCGACACCGAGAACTAAACTTTCGGCCGCGTATTACGTAACAAGAATCTGCCAGGGACTCCGGGTGAAAATTCGCTAATAAAAGAACTGGCTTATGGTCGCGAGAAACGAGCGACTTGGAGGTTCCCGTAGAATGTGTGGCGTAGCAACTCGCGGTACGCTAAAAGGAAATCGCAGGCACGTGTGAAAATTTGCAGCTCGAAGATATCGACGCGTATACCACATCTCCCGAGCGTCCTCCTCCTCCTTTTGGCCCGATGCATCCCGGAGATGCAATCGAACCGGACTTCTTTCGTTTAAGGAGACGATCGATGACGCGATGGTTCAAACACGCGCGCGTGTGCATCGCAAGCTCCCGGAGGTTTCTACGTACAGCAAACGCCATACGTAGGGCTCGTAAAGATACGCTCGAAAAATGGTAATGCGAACGGTATCGCGCGTGCTGGGGCCCTTAATATTTCTACGCCGCGATAATCGTCTTTTTTAAATAACCGACGTTCCTTGTTTTTTCTACGTCGTCCGATGGAACGAACGTATTTGCCGAACCGTAAAGCCGAAGGGGTTCCAGCTCGAGCCGAAATTAAAGGCGTATCGGTCGGAGGAGTGGCTAGGAGGAACAGAGAGAGAAAGATATATTCTTTTTCAAAGGTACTCTTCGCGGTACGTGTCTATGATATGCAACGCGGCAACTTACAGTTCCCCTGGCGACTATAATTCCGTATCGAGCCCGATAGAAGCGTGTCATCGAATACAATAGAAGACTAATGACGTCACGACAACTATACCTACGGAAAGTGGTCGTACTCGCCGGAATGTCATGAATAACAAAAAAATCGTAAAGTCATCGTATTTGTGCGGTCGCGTTTAATCGGCCGGGCTCGCCGATATTTCTGGAAATAAAAAGGGAAATGAGAAGAAAAAAAGTGAGAGGGAAAGAGAAAGAGAATGAGGTAAATGTTATACGCGCGAGGAAACATTATCGGGCGAGGCTCGCATGGCACGGCGGCGGCACGCGGAAAAAACAATGTCCGGTATCGGACCGGAGGAATGTTAAATAGAATGAAACGTCGTGACAAAAATAATGGCAACAAAAGCTCGCTGAAATTGCACCAGGAAGCGTGGTTCCTGTATTTCATTGTGGCCGCCGCCGGTGGCTCGGGTCGCACACCTTCCGCATGCAAGTTTATTCAGTTCGAACGGGAAGTTACGCGCTCAAAGGTCAAAAGATCTTGCGCTTTACAAATGAATAAAACGCTGAATTCTTTTCTTCTATTTCGCAATGTGGAACGCGATTTAAATACGCTGGGAACGCGTGACGAAGGATTTTGATTACACGTCGCTCATAGAAACGACTGATCAAACCGAACGCATTATTAGCGGAGAAACATTTTCATTGATGCTTATTTTATGCAAAACGACAGTTCCGCGTGCGCGTCAATTCAATATTTCATATCGTGCCGCGCGTTACGCAACAGGAACGGAGGGGAACAAGGAAAACGGAAGGAGACAGCGAGATGCAACGAAATAAGAAGATTCATCGGTGATCATTAAACTCGGTACTGGAGCCGTCGCCGCTGCCGCCGCCGCCGCGGCCGGGTGGACTGGTTCTCCTTGACGATACGCGCGTCATATTGCCCCGTTAGTAAAATCTGTCGATTCAGTTCTCTGAAAATCACTGTTACACATTTTACCACTTTCTCCTTCCTTCGCAGTTACACGACGCACGTTGCTATCGTCATTGAGAGTTCTATCGATAACAGAGTCAACGGACGTTCGTAATGTTTCGAGTACCGATGAACAAAGCTTTTGAAAAGACGTGGTTCGATTCTAGGGTACCTATTAAGGATGTTCAGGCTATACAATCCCTGCCAAAAGTGATGGAAATATAAAATTTAGCAATTTCTATGCTTTTAAAATGCAATCATTTACATTTATGATGAATATATGAACTGTAATAGTAAAGTTAACTATTAAAATGGTTTTTGATGTTCGTAAAGGTTTGACTATAATTTTAGATTCGTTTTACTACAATCTTTACTAACTGTTGCACG